ATATAATAGTGTAACGATGGAGTTGCTTGTCATGACCTAGGAGCGTAATTGTTTTTGCTTCACAATCTTTTTTTTTTTTTTTTTTTTTTTCCCTTTCTTTGCTTTAATCAAAAAGGTTTTTTTTTTTATTTTTATTTTTATTTTTATATATATATATTTCTTTCTGAGGAAAATAGCGAGAAGTTTGTTGTTTCTAGACTATAATTTCTGCTAGAAATTAGGAACAAAACATTCCACTTGATGAATACAAAGTATAAAGTGTTCTTATTTTTTATTTGCATAAAGTATATTCACAACCGAGTCATATGCCTCCCCTTCCCAAAAAAAATAAAAAAATAAAAAACCGAGTCATATGCCATAATTTTGCTTTATTCGATCCCTTAAACAATCCTTTCTCAAAGATCAAGTTTAATAGGGTTTCAAAAAAAAAAAAAAAAAAATCTAATTTTATAAATTAAGGTAATCCCATAATCCCTTTTTATACTTTGTTAGAGATATGATATATCGGAAAATATGTGTAAAATGTTTTCCGTATATAAATTGTTTTAGAATAATATATTTAGTTTTATTTTATGTTAAGATAGCACAGAGTATTATTTAGTAAATTTATCTTAAGGATATATGATTATGGTAGGTTAATATGAAATAACACTTATGAATTGTGTGAGGACAAATATATCCTCGAAATATTTGTTTACCTATATGTCCCTATTGAGATCATGTGAATTATTCTTAATTGTCTCTAAGGGCCTGTTCATATTTACTTATTTTCAGTTCAGTTCAATTCAGCTCCAATCAGTTCAGCTCAGTTGAGTTCAGCTCTAATCAGTTTAGTTTTATGTTTTTAATTTTTAAGTTAAGTTCAGATCAATTCAGTTCAGCTCCAATCAGTTCAGTTCAGCTCAGCTCCAATCAGTTCAGTTCAGTAAATATGAACAGACCCTAAGCTTCTTTTTTTTTTTTAGTGTGATTAATGATTAAGCTCGTTTGAATAGTGTTTGGACAACCTTTTAATGTTAATTGTACTCATTAATGTTAATTGTGTTTTTTTTTAAAAAAAACTTTTAACAATAGTGTGCGGACATTTATATCCTAAAAATATTTGGACATTTAGGGTCTGTACATATTTACTGAATTGAACTGAATTAATTTGGAGCTGAACTGAACTGATGAACTGATTGGAGCTGAACTGAACTGGATAGAGATGAAATGAATATTTTATGAGAGAAGGAAATAAGGAGCTAAACTGAATTGAATTGAACTGATTGGAGCTTAGCTAAACTGGCTGAAGCTGAACTGAAGTGAAATTAAGTTGAAGTGAACAAGATTTTATATTTTTCTTCATTAATGTTGCCAACATATGAAAGGACAATCGGACATAATTATTTATGATACGCACATCGTGCACGTTAGTCACTCTAGTGGTATACTTGTAATAATTAGCACTAAACCTTATCATTCACTCCGTAGGTCTTACTCTTATCAAGTTATCATATTTGTATAAGCTTTGAAGAGCAATAGATATTTTGTTGTCCTGTTTAGATGGATTAAGCAATCAACATAATTTAATTAGAAAATAATGACAAAGAGAACTTCATAAATAAATTAGTAAATAGTGTTACAAGAGAATTCCTTCTTAAACAAATACTTTAGATAAAAATTGATAGACAACATAACTTTGTATGCAATATGCATATCTTTGAAAGTCAAAATAGTTTTCAATAATATATACCGTAGTATTTTGATTAGAGATGTTAAAAAACTATTTTATTTTTTTTTGAAAGCAAAAATATTTCATTAATTAAAAGTTATACGACATCTACAATAGAGATTCGACGTTAACAAATACATAAGATATTGAATCAAATAGAATTTTCCTTCATAAAAACTACGATCGTCGAATAGATCTCGCACTGCGGAGCATCTCCCGCTTATATTGCTGAAAATTACAGCCTTGTTGGAGAGACAATCTAACGATCCTTTGTAACCGTGATGATGTTTTCCTTCTGATTCATTTCGAAAACTTGATAACTTTTTCACCAACGAAATAATTGCACGACAATCCATTAGATCTGCTACCATGGATTCAAAACCAAGAAATTTCTCCCTCAAAAAGAGGATATAAACCTTGTCTTTCGAAAGAGGTCGAAAAAACCCTTGTCTTTTGAAGGAGATCGGAAACCCTTTCTTTCGAGGGAAAAAAATTCATCCCAAAAGGAGGAAGCATTATTATGAACCTAAAAAAACAATAAAGAAACAAGGATTGAGGCTTTCCACCGATTAAAATTGATAGAAGCCCCTTCAAAATTCAATAATGAAGGCTAGGGTTTTGGAGAGAGGAAGGAGGAGAAAGAAAGGATTTGAGAGTTGTAAAAAACTACCTTGTATACATTAAATTTTGTAAAAATACTACCTATATATATAAAAAAAAATTGTTGTAAAAAACTACTTTATAAATACTAAATGTTGTAAGTTGTTACTTGTTACCATGTGCTTGATTTAACAATGAAAGAGAAGGAGAATCTATAGTATATATTAAAAGGCGTTCCTATTAAAGGAACGGTGCCACGTGGCACTGTTCAATGTATGTGTACCTATGTCATAATGTCATGTCATCATCCAACGTGTATGCGCAACGTAAGCTAGCTACTTCATTTAAGTGAAATAAAATATGCTTTTAATCCATAACCTCCAATATATATAGGTAATACTTTTACCATCTCAACCAACTATTATTAATGCTTCAAGTTTCACATAATATTATAATATTCCTTTCATTTATTAAGTAAATTAGAGGTAATATAATTCATTTTTTTTCCACAAAATTAAAATATAAATACATATGATGTAAAAAAAAAGGTGACATCCAAAGCAATGTCCGAACCACTACATACACTAACTACACAAATAGTCCAACATAATTATTAAATTAAAGCAAGAAGTACACAAGTTAGCAACCCGGGACATCGCCCGGGATACACACTAGTTAGGGGTTTATAAGGGGGTATGGAGAAAATGAATGGAAAAAGGAGAAAAAAATGATTAAAAATGGGTTATTAAACGTCTTTATTCAATGCTTTTTACAACATTAATTGTTTATAACCTTTTTTATTTTTTTTAAACAGTTTTATAAGGTAGTTTCTTACATTTGTTGTTTAAAAGGTAATTTTTTACAATTTTTTTTTAATAAGGTAGTAGTTTTTCACAAAAAATACTTGTATATATAGGGTAAATCTTCACAAAAAGTCTCTTATTTATTTATTTATTTATTTATTTATTTTTAAAGAAAATTAGATATGTTTAGGAGGCATAAACATAATAAAAGGTAGATGATCTAGAGTATGGATGGAACAAGTTCCTACTGAAAATTTTTAAGTTTCTATTTGATGAGTTAAACCTTTTAGTTGAGTAATAAAATTTCTGCTCGCATTTCCGTCAAAATAAATACGTAGTAATGAATCTTTTTTTTTTTGAGGGCAACGTAGTAATAAATCTAGACCCAACATGAGTCACTTGACACATATAACGCTTAATTTTTATTTTTTTTATTTTTCACAAGAAATAACGCTTAATATTATAAACAAATTATAAAATCTTGTAAACATTGTCATTAACATTCGAGAAGAGTTGACCTCAAAAAAAAAAAAAAAAAAAAAAGTCGAGAAGAGAATATGATATTTTGTTTAGTAAATATGATATTTTGTTAAAAGTCGAGAAGAGTTCACCTCAAATTAAGTTTCGTTTTTTAATTTCAACGAAATTAAGTTTAGTTTAGTAAATATGATATTTTGTGAAAAACTATCTTATAAAAAAAATTTTTGCGGGAAATTACCGATTAAAAAAATGATGTAAGAAACTACTTTATAAAAGGGTAAATGTTGTAAAAGACTACTATTAGTCGGAAAGTCACTTTCATTTTCCAACGTGCCAATCGCGTGACTTTTAATTCATCCTTTCCCTCCTTTTTTTTCCTTAATTGACATGTGACGTGGTCAATGCCGGAAAATAAAAGTCAACAATGACTTTTCGATTAAGGGTAGTGTCTTACAACATTTACCCTTATATAAAGTAGTTTCTTACAACATTTTATTATTAGATAGTTTCTCGTAAAAAAGTGATTTACAAGGTTGTTTTTCACAAAATGTCCTAGAAAATATAAATTTTAATTAAACAGTAAAATCAGATCAGTAACTCTAAAGAACTAACACAATAGAAAATCAAGTTTTAATCATATTCGTATAACTTTTAATTTCTGCAGTAAAAATAATTTAAATTTGACAAAAATAATTAATTGTAGTAAAATTAATTTCGTATTGATAAAAATAATACTATATTAATTATTTCAACAAAAAAAAACGATAAATATAATATAATAGTGCATAACTGCATATAAGCAACCATTTAGTTTAAAACTTCAAGAGTAGTCGGTATATTTTTATTTATATAAATAATACCTCTATTTATAACGGTGCAATGGTGCATTCCGTGCATATAAAGCTAACCTTTTATATCCAAACACACACTAACTAACGTCATTATAGTTTTGATTACTTTTTCCATATTAAAAACTCATATGTGATATGTACAAAATATTGCGATAATATGTGTGATTTATATATGTTTAAGAATAAAAGCAATGCTTCGAAATCATGCATGACTTGGAATTATGATGAGTAGCATTCGCAAAGCTAATGTGTCAATATGGATGTAGGATAGTCCATCTAATGGTTGATATGTCAATAGAGATGCAAATTGATGAGCAACGGATTGTTTTTTCTTCTTAACATAATTCATCGTACTGTTCGTACATACTAATATATGTCATTTTTCTTTCATATTATTTTAAGGGTTTTCATTAAATATCAAGCAATTTTTTATTGGAAAATTATCAATGATACCCTTCAGGTTTTGGCTTTTATCAATGGTACCCTTCATTAAACTTTCATTATCAGTGGTACCCTTACAACTTAACCTAAATTGCTACAATAATCTCAACGTTAAACAAACGTTTAGTATGTTTAGTTAACACGGTTAATGGGCTATTTGACACTAACTTGAGTTGACAAAAATACCCCCCTCATTAATACCCCCCAGGCCCAACCAACACCATTTAATAGTTCCAAATTTTTTGATCGTTCAACTTCTGTCACACTCTCCCCTGTTCTTCTTCTTTTGAGCAACCCTAACTGATGCAAGAGTGAAGGACGATCGTTGAAGATTAAGCGTTTTTCTGCAATTCTAAAGGTTAGTTCTTATTTCTTACTTGAATTTTGGGAATTTTGGTTTAAATTGTTAAGTTTAAGGAAATGTATGTATGTTTGAGAAATGTGTTTGATTTGGTGGAGAATTTCGAAGTGGTGTAGGATTTAGCTCTGAATTATGCTCAATTTACATAGTATAACTACTAGGTTGCTAAAGTTTTATTCTTTTCATATATTAATATGCATAAGTCAACATTTTCATGGATTGTGGGTACATGTACAGTGTAGCTTGTGATGTTGCTCAGTGTTTGCTTAAATTCTAATCTTTAAAGATATGTAAATTGGTGTTTAGTGTGTAATTGATGATGAATTTCACTACTACAAAAAACCCCTATCGAGTCGCCTCTAAACCATCTTATACATCGCTTCAAGGGTGACACTACAGGCACCAACACAATAGGTACCCCCCTTACGTGTCGCCTATGACCTGACGCATTAGGTTGGTTTATGAGTCGCCTTTTTCATTACAGGGGATGTGTTAGGTTGGTTTATGAGTCGCCTTTTTCATTACAGGTGATGTGTTAGGTTGGTTTATGAGTCGCCTTTTTCATTACAGGTGATGTGTTAGGTTGGTTTATGAGTCACCTTTTTCATTATAGGTGATGTGTTAGGTTGGTTTATGAATCGCCTTTTTCATTATAAGCGACGTGTTAGGTGTATTTTATGAGTCTCCTACTTTTTATGAGGCGACGCGTAAAGTAATTTTTTGAAAAGTATAATTCTTCAATAACGATGCCAAAAATATAATTTATTTTCTTTTTCCTCATTAAATTTACACTTGCTATTATAAATACAACCTATGTAGGACTTGAACCTATATCTATGTGCAATAGCACATTGCTCTACCATTTGAGCTAATAGGCTTTTGAAAACTTCATTGGCAAAACTTCTTTAACACTAACATTAGAAATATCAACATAAACATTGACATCCTAGAATAACAAAGATAAGTGACAATAAGCTTTGACCATCATTAACCAACAATTGCAGAGAAATGTACCCATTATACCAAATATCATAGCGGTGCTTTAAATTACTAAAAACAGGAAACCCACGGGTTATAACGTTCTTTCACACATTTCACCATAAGTTTAACAATCAAAATGATAAGGTCGGTACTACAATAATATAATTACCAGATCCAACCATTACATATTTACACTACTTCACATAAAGTTAGGAATGAATTAAATGAAATGACCATAACTGACGTGAAAACTACAGCTTGAAAGAAAGCATACCAATATAATTATTTTCAGAGAAGAAAGGAAGGAAGTCACACAAGCTGATTTTATAATGCAATGCTCAAATGGAAATAAACAAGAGATTGTGAAAAAGGTGAAGTATAAAATTACAGCAGGACAAAGATACTAGAAGAAGAACTATCTTAGTACTCTATGGTTTGTGCGTACCTTAGTGGAGTCAAGACAATAGTTCATGATATTCTCACATGATCCAAGTAAAATTGCAAAATCCATTTTCCCATGCATTTCTTTGAATTTGAAAATAACATCCTCAACCTGTAAAGAGAAATATTAGGCATCTTAGAAAGAAGTCAAATCAGTATATATCCAATCATAGTATTTAAGGATCAATAATAGCAATCACTTTAAAAAAAAAAAGGTATGCGTTTTCACCACTCTTTTTGTCTAGAACTAAATTGCAATTACCAAATCATGACAACAAAAGCACTCACTTATCAAAGATAACTTCAGCGCAAGCAAGGACAAGAAAAACAACAAACAAGCTTGGTTAAAAGAATTCAGACATTCAATCACATATCAAAGTTTGATTGTCATAACATGATAGGTACAATAAACATCTAATCATACACTCAAGCTTATAAAAGAGCTAAAAATACTCACTGTGCACCAAAAACAACAATAACAATTTCTAATGTGGCACCCACAATTAAATTTAGCACCAACAAAATTTATAAACTAAAGTACCATCAAATCATTGGTCTAGTAAATTGATAGTAATTTAAAGATACTAAAATATTTTCAATAAGCATCACCAATAAACAAACAAATTGAATGACATTATACTAACAAAGATAATGTGAGATGATTGCATATAGTGACTAACATTGGACAAGCAATGTGACGTCAATTGTGTAATATGTTCAAGTTCAATTTGCAGAAAAAATAAATAAATTAAAGGAGCAATATATAACACAAATATATAACACAAATATGAATGAAGAAAATAATAAGAGCAAATATTGGAATGGAAAAACTTCAACATAAGTGTATAAAATCTCCCTATTTGTAATGCTGTTTTAGGAAATTCAACCCCCCTCCTCCCCAAACTGCCACACACTCCAGCATTACTCCAAAATCATGTAAATCGAACAACGAATTCAATTACAATTCACTAATGCAGCCCACCTAGTGACTTATATACCCCCCCAAACTGCCACACACTCCTTCAACTGTACAATTACTCGAAAATCACGCAAAATGAGCAACGATTCGATTACAATTTAGTAATGTAGCCCACCTAGTGACTTCTATATATATTATTAGCACTGTCAAAACGGTTTGACAGTTCGGGTTCGGTTCGGTTTGAAATCGGTTCGGTATTAAATCGGGTCGGTTTGAAATCGGTTTAAGTGTCTCACAGGTCGGTTTCAGTTCAGTTTAAATAGTTATCGGTTCGATTCGGTTTCGGTTTGGGTTCTAAACGGTTCGGTGCAGCCAGGTTGCGGTTTGTTAACGGTTCGGTGTAAACGGTTTTTTACACCGGTTCAAACAGTTTCGGGTTGAAAACGGTTTCAAGTTAGAAACGGTTCGGTTCTTTTTCGGTTCAGTTTTATTTTGGTTTGCCTTTTATACGGTTTAACGTTATTCAAATCAGTTTTATTTCACGTTTACTAAATTATGGTTCGGAACGGTTTTTTTATTTAAAAAGTCGGTTTTTGATCGGGTCGTTTGGATTTGGGCAGTTAAACGATTTTGGTTTGAAATTTCATAGTACTTGCTAACCTTTTGCTGGTTAACAAGTTTTATATCAAGCCGAGACTTCATCACTTCATATTAAGCATTAGGCATTATATATTATATACAAATTCTCATCGATTTTAAAAATACATATGTTATTTTCAAGTTTAGTCATATTAATCTTACTAGTTTATTATGAAGTAACGTAGATTATAAAAATTTAGTGTATTAATGAATTATTATTGTTTTACTATCACATTATTAGCTGCTTCTTATTCAATCATCTAATTGATGTGTCATAATCATGATTTGATGAGTTATCGTGACATCGAAATTACAGTTTGATTTATAGACGGTTCGGTTTGTAAGTGGTTCAGTTTATAAAAGGTTCGGTGCAAACGGGTCGCAGTTTATTAACGGTTCGGTGTAAACGATTTTTACCTCGGTTCAAACGGTTTCGGGTTGGAAACGATTCGAGTTATAAACGGTTCGGTTCTTTTTCGGTTCGGTTTGTTAACGGGTTCGGTTCTTATACGGTTTGACATTATTCGGATTAGTTCGATTTCGGGTTTACTTAAATACGGTTCGGGTCGATTTTCGGTTTTACAAAAACGGTTTTTAATTGGTTCAGTTCTTATTTGGGTTGGTTGATTTCGGGCAGTTAAACGGTTTCGGTTTGAAATTTGACAGCAATATATATTATACATAATAATTGTAATAAATCACAAATCTCTTTTAACATTGAATAAAACTGAAGACATTAAAGGAGAGAGAAAGAGAACTGAAGAGATGGCAGAAAGCATCGCGACAAGCATTGGAGACGAAGGAGGCGTAGTGGTTGTCTTTCTCGGCGTTTCTCATGATTTCCGGCTGCGCTGCTGCCGGAAACCCGCGTATTGGTTCATACAATCGAAACCTGCAAACCAAAACCCAATTCATAAAATCAAAAACCCACAATTTCCCACCACAAATTATTATTCAAAATCCAAAAACAATAAACCCTACTCATCAAACCTGCTTAACAACAAGTAATTCCCAGAATCAGTATTAATCCCCATATAAACCGTCCTAAAAGCGCCGCAACAAATAAACTCCCCTTTCTGCCATCAAATAGGCAGAGCTTCATCTTTAATCGACGGCGCCATATTCTCCTTCGCCGAAGAGCACGAAAGTCCCCTGATTTGGGACTTTGCCGCGAACAATTTGATGCGGGATTTATGAATTGAGGAGCCAATTTTATCGACAAAACCTCAAAACCGACGTCGGTGGTGGTGGTTGAGGAGGAAGAACTTGAAGTTCGTAAGATTAAGGATTGAAGAAAATAAAATGAATGAGGGAGGCGATGAGAGGAAGGAACAAAAAAAATAGGGGAATGAATGAGGTTTCTAGGTTTTTTTTTATAAAGTTGCTTTCCGTCAAAAAAAATTTGGCAAAGGTGTTGCCTGTAGCAGTACAAGGCTATAGGCGACTCCTAAAGTATTACTTTAGCAGTCACACGTGATGAAAGACGGGACATGTATAGTTTGCACGTCGCCTAGTATAGTGTAGGTGACGCTTATGACTTTCATTTTATTTTTAGGTGTCTTTTATGTGTCACATACTTTATAAGAGGCGACTCTAAAACCTTACGCGTCACACATTAATTTGAGGCGACTCTAAAAGGGCGACTCCATAGGGTGTTTTTGTAGTAGTGTTTCTGAACAAGTGATTGTGTACTGATTTTGCAGAATGACTGAGCATGATAGGGTTGTGTTTCGATTTAAGTATAAGGTGCATAAAATTGATATTGAAGTGGATCCTGATCAGTGTAACTTAATGGATTTAGTCATAGAGTTTGAGGATAGGTTACAAAAAAAGGGAGTAGTTATACTTAACCCTATATTTGCTTATGCTTATAGAGGTAAGCATTGGCCAATAAATGATGATGGTGGCATATATAGGTTTTTCAGGACATTTCCACAAGCTAATGTGTATGAGATTTTAGTTGGTACTACTATGAATTCAACCTACCTGAATGATCTAGTGTCTGAATTTAGGAGGAACGAAATAGTTGCTGAAAGAGCTATGCAAGCAATTGGACATGCACCTCCACCAATTGATGACCCACCACTTGTTAATGAACCAATTCTTGAACCTCAAGCTGAAAATGAACCAATTCTTGAACCTCAACCTGAAAATGAACTAATTCTTGAACAAGCTGAAAATGAATTCATTCTTGAACCTCCTATTGAAATTGAACAAGAAGCCAACCCTTTTGAAGCTACTCCTTCTGGGAGCAGCAAGCTAAAACCTAGGAGGAGATTGGTGCTTAAATACCAATAAGAACCTCAACCAACAAGCCCTGTCTCTTCTGTTAACCCTTCAGTCTGACCCTAGGATTATAAACTATGACCCAGATGCTACTTTTATGGATATTGAAGACCTGTATGAACAAAATAGTGCTAAGAAGATTGAAAAAGAGTACAGAAGGGGGAGAAAGGAGTTTAAAAAGTACATGGACAAGGAAAAGGGTAAGGGTAAGTGTCAAGATAAGGCTGAGGGAGAAGATGTAGGTGGTTTTTCTGGTGATAAAGCAAAGGGAAGTGGGAAAAAGGGCAAGGCAAAGGGCAAGGACAATGGTAAGGGTAAGAGTAAGTTATTAGTTTTTGGTGGTGAGAAGTTACCCCCATCTCCCATTTCCCCACACACTGTCTTTAAGACACTACCTGTTAGGAGAAGCCCTAGGTTTTCCCCTATTTAAACTAATACCAAGCAACCCACCACTGTACTCTCAAATAGTCTAAACACAAGAGATCCAAATCCAACCACTAATCCCACACTTTTTGGTAGAAAAATGCCTAAGAGTACAGCTGTTAGGAAAGGGCTATGGGTTAAGGGTAAGGGTAGAGAGTTGCATAAGCCAAATGAGAGTGGGGAAGGTAGTCAACCAACTGCTAGAAGACAAGTCATTTTTGATGGTGATGGTGATGGTGGGGATGATCCTAGTGATTCTAGTGATTCAAGTGAGTCAAGTGAGGATGCTGATGGTGGAGGTTTTGGAGATGAGCTTGATGATTCAAATGGTGAGGTGATCCCAGATGGTGATGTGCCAGCAGATGAGAGGGAAGACATAGGACAACTTCCCCACATTGAAGACAACTAGGAGCAGGGGTTCTGGTCTGGATTCATAGATGATGATAATTACTTCAAACAACTTTATGGTGATGGTGAAATGTATGAGGATTTGGGGTTTGGGAAGATTGTTCTTAGACCTTGGATGCTGTTCATAGACAAGGCACACTTAAGGGAGACTTTGAAGGATTATGCAGTCCAGGAAGGTTTTGCTCTGAATGTTGTAGCTGCAGATAACACCAGATACACAGTGACATGCTATGCTGAATGTTGTGAGTGGAGGCTGCATGCCAGTAGGTTAATTGATGGAAAAACTTGGGCTATCAAGAAAATATGGCCAGATGTACACAGCTGTAGGGGCTTGTAAACATATAATCCTATATGTACTGTGAAATGGGCTGCCCCAAAAGTAATGGAAGATATTAGGGCTGCCCCTGATATTCTAGGAAAAGCATTGAATGAATTGTTGTTTCAGAGGTATGGGATATATATGAAACAAGCTTCCTTATATAGGCTGAAAAGGTATGTGATTCAAGAGCTGTTTGGTGGACATGATGAGTCCTACTCATTGATGCCAAGATATGCTGACATGATTTGCCAGACTAATCCTGAGTCAAAGGCATTTGTAGCATGGCAGCTTAGTGAGAGCATTCCTTGAGTGAATTTGTTTACAAGTGTGTTTATCAGTTTTGCTGGGCAATGGAAGGGTTTTCTGGCTGCTTGCAGACCCTTAATTGGAGTTGATGGGGCTCATCTAAAGGGAAATTATGGTGGAATCCTCTTGTCTGCAGTTGGGTTAGATGGCAACAATGAAATTTACCCAATAGCATTTGCCATTGTGAGTGTTGAAGACAAGGAAAGTTGGTCTTACTTCTTCTGGCATCTGTACAACATAGTGAAGCAATCCAACAGGCAACATTGGACAATTATATCTGACAGACAAAAGGTAAACATTTTACTTACACTAACACTATTAGCATTATATTACTTGCATTATATTACTTGCACTAACATTATATTTGTAATATAGTACTTGCACTAACATTACTTGCATTAACAGGGGGTTGATCTAGCCCTAAAAGATGTATGGCCTGATGCCAAGAGGAGATACTGCTGCAGACACTTGAACAGGAACTACAAGAAAGAATTCCCAGGCCCTTTGATGTACACACTATTCTGGAGGGCATGCAATGCAACCAACAAGTTCACTTTCAGGAAAGCAATGGAGAGATTACAGAAGGAAGGAGGAGAGGATGTTATGGTGTGGCTTGCAAACTTAGGTGATCAATCAAAATGGAGCAAGCACAAATTTGATCCTAATGTATGCAATGACTTAAACACCTCTAACTTTGTGGAGAGTTTTAACTCCACTTTGGGAGTTGACAGGTGCAGACCTGTTTTGACACTTCTTGAAGGTATACTTTTTTTATTTTTATTTTTATTTATTTATTTATTTTTATTTTTTTTCAGTTAAGACACAACTCTTATGGTTAGATTTACTTATGCATCTTATATGGTTGATTGGAAGGGATTAGAAGAGTGTGTATGGTGAGGATTGCTTCAAGGCATGAAAGAGCACAAGGCTGGGAGGATAATGACTTATGCCCCAAAATTGCAAAGTTGGTCAGGGACATTAGCAAAGCAACCTCTACCTGCAGAGCCTTCCAGTCAAGTCCAGGTGAATATGAGATACATGAGGGGAGGTCCCAGTTCCCTCTAAGCCTAAACCAAAAAATATGCTCATGTGGGGCTTGGCAGCTGTCTGATATACCATGCAGACATGCAGTGAGGGCAATGCTACATGCCAAAGTTGATCCCCACAATTATGTGAGCTCATGGTACTCTGCTAGAACCTACAAGCAAGTGTACAATTTTGTGATTCACCCAATTCCTGATTCAAGTCAATGGCCACCTGTTGATGCTACCCACCCTCAGCACATCTACCCACCAAAAATGAAGAGAGGTGTAGGAAGGCCAAGTAGAAACAGGAAAAGAGAAGAGGGTGAAGACCAACCAGGGAAGAGGTCTAGAACAGTCAGATGCAGCAACTGTGGGAATTTAGGCCACAACAAAGTAACTTGCAAGGGTGGTTTGACTAGAAAGGAGTTGGAGTCAGTGAAGGCAATGGTTGTTAGGAACACAAGATCAAGAGATCAGTCAAATGCAGCTAAGGAGGCTAGAGCTATGTCTGCTGCAACAGAGATCTCTTCTTCACAGTTGGCTAGCCAACCACAGGACTTGTCCTAGTCACCCTGACATCTGTTTGGATGCTGCAACATTAGGCTATTAGGACTGACTTTGATGTAATGAATCAGTTTTTGAACATGTTTTACCAGTTTTTATTGATGCAAGAACTTGTCTTTTTTTTTTGGGAAAGTACTTAGCTGTGAATGCTAGTACTTATTTGCTTATTAATGCAAGATACATTTCTTTAAAGTACTTAGCAGAACTAGCTGCTTTTTTGGGAAGCAATACAGCATGACTTGTTTGCATATTTATGTGAATATGTTAGTAATTATTTGCTTATTTTTGTGCTCTCTCAAAACAGTAAACTAAAGACATAAAATGCAATATAACACGAAAATAACCAACTTCCATTAATGTCAACTAGAATTTCAGTATATCATTTTCAAACCAATATCTTAAAAAGGCTACTATTTTAAAGCCACAATCAACAACACCAAAGACATCACTACAACTAATTTCACAACCATGTACACGAAATCAGCAAATTCATCAGTCTTGTGCATAAACTCTGTAAATTCTGCCCTTAATGCATGAACTTGGCCTACTTCTGCCATGGATCCTTGCCTCCCTCCTATGTCCCTTGAAATTTGGTCTTCACTTACCCACATAAAGAATTCACATACCCTACACTTATAATATGGCCTTCTAGGATTCGCAATTGAGTTTGAAAACCTAATATCCGCAACTCTTGGTGGTTCACAATTGCAATTCATGGCTCTAAACCATGTAACTCCCCCATTCAAATTGCTTGAAGATGAAGCCCTTCCAGAAGAAGCCATTACTATAAAACCCTTGAAACCCTTGACAAAACTGTAGAGTAGAGAAAAAAAGAAATTTTTTTTCAGAAATTAATGGAAACAGGGAAGAGAGGGGTGAGGGTTATATAGGAAATTGGAAAGAAATAAAAGAAGGGAAAAATGTTGGGATTTTTGGAGGGAGAAATAAAAGGGGCATTGAAGTCTTTTCGCGTTCCCCAACCCATTTACCCTCCTAATTAAACATACTTAACGTTTGTTTAACATTGAGATTACTGTAGTAATTAAGGGTAAAGTATAAGGGTACCACTGATAATGAAAGTTTAATGAAGTGTACCATTGATAAAAGCCAAAACCACAAGGGTACCATTGATAATTTCATTTATCACATTGTGTCATCAAATTTTAATCTAGATGTCTACAAAATTACAATAACCTCAGACATTAAGTCCAACTAAATGACGCTTTAGTATTAAGGTTACGATGGAGATGTGCAATGGCATTAAGGTTGGTGCTCTAATTAAAAGGGGTTATGCTAGTTAACTCAAGTCTTTGCAAGGTTTATCACTTGTTATATGATAATCGAGTAATATTTTACTAAATAGATTGATTCCACTTTTATTGCTCACTAGAGCTTGTTATTGGATAGGGTAACCCAATGATAATAGGGTCAAGGCCAAGCTTAAAAGGTTTTTTTTTATGGACAAAGCCCTTATTGGGTAGAGTTAATATAGAGCCAAAATGTTTTTTCAATTTAACTTATAAAGAAGATAGATAATGTAAAAAATAATTACATAGGTAAATTTGTATTCATATATACTTAATAATTGCTTTGTCCAATATTTATTTTAATTGATATTTTATATGTCCGTCCATTATCAACCCGTTATTAACCCATGACCCACATTGACCCGATCCAATATTGACCTTATAAAATATGACTCGACCAGCAACCGACCCTGACCTGACCCGTCCAATAACCAGTTCCCTCGCAAAGTCACAAATTCACAATAAGTTACGCTACTTACGCGGTAATATGGTACGGAGTAATATTAAAGACGTTTTAGTCTTGTTGTGGGGTAGGTGTTTCGTGTTCATATATATGCTGACATTTGTAATTTAAGAAAGTGTTCCAGACTTCTTTTTTGATTCATGATGTCTTTGCGGATGATTATTCAATCCTAACGTCTCGAAAATTGATTTCCAACACAGCATAACTTATTTCAACATACTAAAGCTTTAGCACGCAATAACTATACCCTAAATTTTCTAAACAAAATCATAGGAGCACTAAACGAGATTGATATACGTAGATTAGAGTGTTAAATATCTACAAGATATATATAATATCTGCAAGATATATATTTAACATAGAGTATTAAATTGACTTATGTCTTCCTTAATTAGAGTATGAGGTAATAAGGTTGCCTGCATTTTATTTTATTTATTTATTTAATATAGTGGGCTAATTGTTGTGTCCATAACAACACATTCATTCACTTAAACTTTTGTCAAATGATAATTTTGTTCAATGTGTTTAATGTGGTATTATTGGTTTGATGAGAGAAGGGCGCCATAACAACACATTCATTCACAAACTTTTGTCAAAGAATAATATACAGCGCACCAAAGAACATTAACAGTCAAACGACAACTCAATTTTTTTTAAAGAAATAAAACAACGAATAGATGGATATTTAATTTATTTCTTTCGTACCAACTAGGAAAATAAACTAGGAAATCACTCACGGTGTCGCAAATTTCCTTTATATATGTAGCCTTATTTTATCACAGTATATATATTTTGTAGAAGACTGTCATAGTTTTGATGATCAAAGAAGACATTGTAAAGGCAGCTAGCTAGATTGTTTACGCATGTTTTGAAAATGGGAGTTGAGATTATAATGTCTTTACTTAAAGTTGACATTGGTAGAAATCAAATACTCCATACAATCATACTATGACTCAATGGACCAATTACAAAGTTGTTATTTTCAAGGTCTGCCTCCATTAGTCCATTGGCACAAATGTACAATTAAGGAAAGTAAAATATTATACTGTATGAACTATGAAGTAGAATAAATGCACCACTATAAATTCAGAATCCATTTCCTTAATCTTTGGTTGTCTAGTCTAGGAAATGGTTTGCGTGTTGTCTTAATGTAGAAATTGAGTTGTTGAACTTTTGTCCATATTTAATTATATACAACTATTCAAGTATAAGATAAATTTAGTTCTTTTTTATACTAGTAAAGTTTTTATTTAATTTTATTTTATATATATAAAAAATATAACTCCATATTATTCAAGGTTACTTCATGGCTTCATGCCTATACTTAAGATCAATAACTTATATACTAAAAGACACACCAGCAATTTTCTGGTGTGTCCTTAATTTTTTTTTTGAATAAAATTTAATTAAAGAAACAAAATTTATTTACAAAAATAATTCTCTAGTCTTATACGATATAATTACTTAAAATAAAAAAGATTTGACATATATTTTAGTTATTAAATTTCTTAACTCACAATTTGTGAATTCCTTTTTACTAATTTTCAACATCGTTTTATATCTAACATATCTTACGTAATCCTTTATTTTGCTCAAAATTTGTCAATAATTTTAGATTTTTTTTTTTGCTTTATAAAAACTTATTATAATAATAGTTTAATAATAATTATTAAAAATTACCGTGCATGACACGGAAACTAACCTAGTTGTATATACAGTACATTTTTTTTAAGCCATAGTACGATACAAAGTTCACCCATCATGGAAGATTGGAATTTGCTTAAACAGTTGCAACGTATAGAATACCATCTAACTTATTTTTATTGAGGCAAACCATTTAACTTATTTAATTAAATTCTTAGCGTGATATGACATAGACGTAAAATTTAATATCAAATACTCCTAGTATGCATGTCATATGTGATGGTCTTAGAATCTTAGCCAACAATTATATTGATTGAGGATGAAAATGATTACAGTCACAATTAAAACTTGATTACTCCGTACTATAGTAATTTAGTACGTAGTAACCCTCCATACTATTCGTTCACTTACACTAGTGTTGTATAATTTGTTCAAATGATAATTTTGGTCAGTGTGTTTGATGGTATTATTTTTTTGATAGGTAAAGGGATATCGTAATAAGGTGACGCACGTATTAGCTCATTGCTTGCCGTGGGTGCCAGGTAGTAGAGTGTGGTTGTCAAATTTTCCCGATTGTATTGTTCCTATTTTGGACTATGATCTTCCTACTAATGAATGAGTAAACCTTGTAGGCTTTGTTTTTTTAAAAAAGTATAAGATAAATTAAATCCTCTTTAAAAAACATTCACAACGTATCGAATACCATCTAACTTACGAAATAAAAGTCTCAGGGTGTATGGTACCCAACATTTAATACAAAGTATGTACTATAAAATATAACTCCTTCAATTTTCTTCTCTTCTTCTTTATTATTTATCATTCAAACTTCTTTTCTTGTTTTTGTTCTTCTCTTTTTCCTCATTCTCATCTTATTATTCAAAGCAATATTATCTTACAAAATGTGGTTCTTTTAGTACTCAAAGAGTGGGCTACAAAAGCAAAGAACAAAATGTTAACAAATTCCCGATCATTAAGGTTATTCTTTTTATACTTAAGTATTGTATTGTTTTCTATTTTAATCACCGTTTTATTTGTCACCTTAAGATCTTCGGGAAAAAATTCTATTGTTAAGCTTATAAATGATTCGAAAGACATCAAAGTATTTATATTTGTAATCTCTATATTTCTTTCGGTTATACCTAGTGCTTTTAAAGCACATGAAGTAGAAAGTTATTTTATAGGATTTATGCTAATGTGCTGGGGTTTTTGTGTTCACGTAAGCTTGCAATCAAAAACTGATTTTGGATTGTTGCTTGTACATCATCGGCCGTTTTTAGTATTTTTACAAATTTGGTTCAATGTGAACCAACTGGAGTAAGTGATTATTTCACCTTAATAGCATTTTTTGTTATTTTACTATTATACTACTATTTTGCAAAATTAACTTATGATGATCCTACAAAAGAAATAATTCGTTTTAGATGTAGGGCAGAAAATATTAATAAACGTTTAACCCAACAAGAAGTTGATCAAAGAAAAACCAACGGAATTCATGAGAATGAGTTTTATCATATAAATAGAATTGGTAATAAAAGGGATGATATATTTTATGAAGTAATACCGGCCTCTTCTATTGACCCGGAGTCACG